ATATATATATATATATAACGCGCTGAATTGGTAAGCAGTGATAAATGAGTTATACAATAAGCAACCAATATGATCAGTTAACAAACTCCTTGTCATGCCTTCGATAATAATTTAACTGTCGCTTAGTTGATAGGTCGTTGAATTGGGGATATGCTACAGGGAATGCATTTAACGAATAGAAAGGATATCGTAATTTGTTGTCCAGTGATGGCGGATCTGGGAAGATATCGTTGTAGTTCAGTCGTGGAAAATAAGCGTAGATGTATCGTCTGCTCATTTGTAAAAACATTAACTCCTTTTGGATTTCTCCATATATATATATATATATATATATCTTTGTTAGCTTATATCCTCTTCATCGCTTTAATTTTACTTGCAGGATTTTCCCACCCTGTCTATTGGATATTGTGGCAATTTTATTTGAACATAGCTTTAATTTCGGTAGTCCGACAGACGCCTTCAATTTGCGAAAATATTTCAGAAGTAAGAAACAAGAAAAGTACTGGGCAATTACCAAAATACTTTAGTCACAATAAGTGAACTTTAACACAATTTACGTGAATTTGGCCATTTGTTGTTTTTACTTTCATTCGAAATTAAAACAAATTTATAATACTAGAATATAGTATTAACAAAATCTATGAAACTGCTTATAGGAGTTCTCATAACATAATATTTCACACTTAAAAAAAGATATTTGGGGAAAGAATTGGTACTGTACGAAGTAATGTTTATCAATGTATTATAATTACACAAGACAATGATAATAATATATAGATTGATATGCAATCACTGCTGAACGTAAACGACTTCTAAACATTTTCTCATTCGAGTCGATTCACTGCGATGAAAGAAATTATAATAATTACCATCATTTAGAAATTTTCGATCAGCAAAAAAATATTCCAGCGAGAGCCGATCTTTCAAATTTTTTTTAGGTATTTGCCCCACCAAATCAATTTTTATCTAAAAATATTTCATTGATAAAACTTCATGTAATTTCAGTATTTCATCTATCACTACTTGGATAAAATGCTAATTAGCAATATTGAAGAATTTTGAAAAATCTAAAGTTTAAAAATCAAGAAAAAGTGCGGTTAACTTGAACTGTTTCTGAGGGCGGAATTATTCCAGTAGTTGGAAATGCAGCAAGACGTCTTATAGCATTCGTTTTTAGCGCCCACACCACTGGCTTTTTGTAATTATTGG